AACCCAGGCACTTCAATGTAGGATGTGGACAAGCCAATCGGTGGCCTAACAACTAGGCCACATGCCCACCCCTATTTTTAGGAGTTTTCTTCTTTTTTTTAAGTACCATACTATTTGTCCTCTTTATTTTCAAATAAAACACCTAGTAAACTGGTTTAAACTGGTATTCAAGCAAAAATCCTGTCTCCTTCCCCAAAAGCCATATAAATTTTATAAAACAAATGAAAACATAAAATATTTATGTTATATAGATCTGATATCACATGCAGCTCAATTCTGCGTTTCATCATGGGAAATCCAGTTACTCATTTTCAAAACAGATGCAGGTGAACAGTACCTTGTCAGGGAGTGTTTATATCCACAGATAGCCCACTCTCACATATGCAATCTACTGCTTTGCTTGAAACTTAAAGGTTACCTTTTCACAACAAATAAATGCAAATCAAACACACAGTTACCCAGATTTAATGTTCAAAGAAAAACTTCCATGAGATTACCACCTTGGATAACACAACAGGACATAAGACCATGTCATTTTCATTTAGAATTTACTGCAACATATTTGCAAGTGTTTACCTTCTCACACCATCTTTCCTTAAAAAAGTTTTAAAAACTTCTTACATGGAAACATGCAGAAAGGTACAAAACTGAAGAAAATGCAACACCAATGTGGGTAGTATTTTAGCTCTTTATGAGCTAAGGAAAAGTTGAAGTGAGTTTCAATACTGAGCCGAAGGGAAATCTCTTAGTTGGAAATTAAAAAAGAAGAAAGATATAGGAGATAATGCAATAGGGAACAATATTCAAACGGGGAACTGCCAGGATTAGCATTTATGTCTTTAGGAAAGAATAAAATATGATGTTGTTGAACCAAAAAAAATCAGGTTTAATATGTGAAAGTATTTTGTGTCTGTTTTTCCAGAACATACTACTAAAATAAAATCCCATGCAGCAGACTAAAAGGAATTAAAATAAACATTGAAGAAAAAAAAAAATCACCCAAGAAAACGGATGATTCATAAGTATGATGAAGATAAATCACTTAGGTCAACAATATTTAGTTTTCTCCTTATCCTAATATCACTGTACTAGTCTACCTTAAATGTCTTCTAGAACAATGAAGGGTATAAATAAATAAACTCATTAATAAATAAATAGAAAAATAGCTTTGTCTCGCTAAATGTCATTGCTAAAGATAAAAAAGTCACAAATTAAATTATGAATAAGGAAACTGTGCCAGAATAGGTTTTGGATCATTTCACTTCACTTTTAGTGGTTTGAGGTTTCTCGAAAATGTACTGCAGGCTCCAGGGTGCAGCATGTGAGTACTTAAGATGCTTGTTAAATGCAGATTTCCAGGCCTCATACACCAGGGGTACTGACTCAGAAGGCCAAGGACCCCATGCATTTGCTTTTGCAGTAGCTCCCCAGATTATAAATGCATATGGCCTACAAACTACACTTTGAGAAAACCACTGCCTCAAGTAAAAGAGCTGTCTCTCTGCTATGGAGATGAACATTTTTCCCAGCAAGAAACTTGTTTTAGAGCAGAAAGCAATCTTTAAATATATTTATTCTTTTGAACCATCAACCTTGTAATTTTCAGTAGCCAGTGAGTAATCCTGGTGGAAATGATAACAGTGATCCAAATCGCTTCTACAGATTTTTGCCAAGCCATACTCGACAGTCACCTAGCTACAAATGGTTGTAAAGTGAATAGCAATGCTTTAAGGTAACTGTACAAGAATCCTCCATAAATGCTGCTTAAAATTTTGTTGACTTGCCTCATGAGAGACGTAAAGATCTGCAAGGAAATTACATATTGCTCACTACCATCACTGTTACAAATTCTAGTTGGCTCTCTCTTCATTTGTTACCCCAAAGTCGCCAAGTACGTAACACAGGAAGCTCGCCATGGTTCCTCTACCATTCAAGACCCACGACCGAGAATGTCCTCTATGACTCTTTCCCTTATGCCTTTCCTTCTCCTCTTTTCCTTGATAACCAAACCCATTCGCCTTATCCGCATGCACATCCACCCGCTTTGTGGGTCAGATAACACATTTTGTCTTTGCCTCCAGCTGTTGCCAACTGCTTTTCATTTATCCCCCAAACGAGCATCTCTTGAGGGAACATTGCATGTCAGGAACTGTGCAAAAGTAAACCTACAAAGAATGACACAGTAATCTGGCACATGCTGTTAACAAAGGGGTTCTAGTTTTCATAGCACTATGTTCTTAGAATTTTATCTACAAATATCATTGAATCTGTTAAAAATTAAAATAAAGTTTAAATAAAGGAAAATAAATATCAGAGGCCCCATTATGTACAGCAAGAACTATGCGATATGTGAGCGGCAATCTGAGGTTGAGTCAGGTACAGTGAGAGTTGTTTCTGAAAGTAACTTTTATGGCCATTTCAGTGGGCCAACAATATCTATGAGGAGTCTTCAAAGAGTTTGTGAAAATGTACATTATGAAAAAAAAGCATACATGGGTTTCAATTTTCTTTTGTACCAAAAATAAGAATATCTTTTAATTCCATTTTCCATGAAGTTTTTGAGGGGCTCTCCTGTACCTGGTCCATCTTCATAGTCTAAGTCTGTTTTCCTGTAGTTTATACTGCAGGGCAAAGAAACGGTGAGTAAGCACTCATTTCCAACCTCATAAACCACAGGGCTTCACATCTGAGGCCAAGCACAGAGCTGGGGGAGGAAATATCTAGGTTCTAGTGCACCTCACTGTCCTCCTCACGGTAAAAGCGATCAAGGCTGTGGCGGTGGGGGTGGGGGAAGGTGTTGACAGTACTGAAGGTGGGTCTTCTAGTATATTCTGGTCAAACCGAGACCAGGAGGAGAGAAAGAGAATACACTGCAGTCATATTTTCTATTATTCTGTACTGTTTTCACATTAGAGCTAGAGGCAGAAAGGGAAATCTCTTACCCATTAATTTGTAGGAAAAAAAAATACTGTTTTCCAAAGGAAGACTATTTCTTTGATGGATACTAGAACTTAAGAATGGCACATTTTTATAATGAGCGATACTTTAACACCAAAGTTGATTTTTTCTTTTAAACAAGTTGAACTTGATATGTAATTCTTGCCGGTCTACTCTGTACCAGATAGACCCCTGCAGACATTCAACCATGAACACAAAATACAGTCCAGTCATCAAGAACTCTCCTTACCCTGCAGGGAGCAGCAGTAACCCACTGTAACACAGTGCGCCAAGTGTACTCTATGGTGCCAAGCTCAGTGTTTTGGAAACACCAGAGCCTGGAAAATGCTTCTCGGAGGAGGTGGCAGGTGAGCTGGACTTTAAACCATGAACAGATTATACCACAAACAGAAAGAAGGGGAAAGATCTCTTTAGCAAAGAAGAATTAAAAAGAAAATAATGGAAGCAAAAGGGACGGAGTCATTAAGGAACAAAGAGTGCTTTGTGTTGTGTGTGTGTGTGTTTTTTTTTTTTTTTTTTAAATTTTTGAACAGGCAGAGTGGATAGTGAGAGAGAGAGACAGAGAGAAAGGTCTTCCTTTGCCATTGGTTCACCCTCCAATGGCCGCCGCGGCCGGCGCACTGCGGCCGGCGCACCGCACTGATCCGATGGCAGGAGCTAGGTGCTTCTCTTGGTCTCCCATGGGGTGCAGGGCCCAAGGACTTGGGCCATCCTCCACTGCACTCCCTGGCCACAGCAGAGAGCTGGCCTGGAAGAGGGGCAACCGGGACTAGAACCCGGTGTGCCGGCGCCGCAAGGCGGAGGATTAGCATAGTGAGCTACGGCGCCAGCTACAAAGAGCGCTTTGTGAGGCAGAGGTCCAGAGGAGAGATGTGGAGGTTGATATAGAGAAGATAGGCAGGTGGCAGCCAGAACAAAATGGACTTTCAGAGCCACACAGAGAAACTTTGAATTGTATCCTGTAAGGATACAGGGGAGGCCCAAAAGTTTTTAAGGATGAGTATTGCAAGATCTAACTCATGTGTGTTTGCTTTTTAAAGATTTATTTATTTATTTGAAAATCAGAGTTAGAGAGAGCAAGAAAGAGAGGCAAAGAGAGAGGTCTTCCATCTGTTGGTTCACTCCCCAACTGGCTGCAACAGACATAGCTGTGCCGATTCGAAGCCAGGAGCCAGGAGCTTCCTCAGGGTCTCCCACGCGGGTGCAGGGCCCCAAGGAGTTAGACCATCTTCCACTGCTTTCCCAGGCCATAGCAGAGAGCTGATCAGAAGTAGAGCAGCCGGGATTCAAATCGGCACCCATATGGGATGCCAGCACTGCAGACAGTGGCCCCACCTGCTATGCCACAGCGCCGGCCCCCTAACTTGTGTTTTAAGAAGCAACTGTGGGGGTCAGTGCTGTGGCATAGTGGGTAAAGCTGCCACTTGCAGTGCCAGCATTCCATACGGGTGCTGGATTGAGTCCCAGCTGCTCCACTTCCAATCCAGCTCTCTGCAATGGCTTGGGATAGCAGTAGAAGATGGCCCAAGTCCTCAGGCCCCTGCACACACATGGGAGACCTGGAAGAAGCTCCTGGCTCCTGGCTTCGATCAGCACATCCCCGGCCATTGCAGCCATCTGGGGAGCAAACCAGCAGATGGAAAACCTCTCTCTCTTTCCTGCCTGCCCGTCCTCCCCACTCCCCTGCTTCTCTTTAACTGTGACTTTCAAAAAATAAATAAATCTTTAAAAAAATAAAAAAGAAGTGTAGTGGCTGATGGGGTGATGAGGAAGAGGCAGCTGATCAGAAGGCCCTAGAAAGCTCAAGCAGAGATTGCTCATCAGGAATTGTGTATCTCTGTGCTCTTACACGCTCATCACATTTCCCCCTGTAAGTACTGTAGTTATACCGTGTTTTCGTCTTTCATGACATAAGTCAATAGTGATATTTTTCCCACTCAAAATATGTGATATTATTTCATAAAATCACATTTTATGTAATTTAATAAAAATTTCACAAAAATCACACATTTAAGGCAAATATTTAAAATATGATCTCTTACCTGAACAAAGCTGTTCCACTTTTGTGTAGTTTAAAGATACTATGTCATTAACCCATGCAATGATGTCATGTCTGCTCATAGTCTCTTGGGTTATCGAGGTAGAATACACATTGACTGCCATTCCCCAGCTAGAAAAAAACAAACACATTTATTTACCAATAACGTAAAAATGAACTCAGATCAATAACAGACACTATTCAAGGTCAGGATAACTGGCCAAGTTTTAGGGGATACAAAAATCCTGCTTTGGCTAAACCTTGAATTTTTCTCTCTTCTATAAATCTGCCATAATATGACTAAATTTCATATATTTTTCAGGCTCTATCATGCATGCTGTCTCTTCCCCAAGTAGATCCGAATGTTCCTCAGGCTGCGAGATTCCTAATTCATAACACAATCGAGTTTTACCTTTGACCTTAAATCTGTGTGTGGTGTTAAAAAGTTATCAGGCCTAGGACAGTGCACATACAGAAATCTTTCAGTTTTATGTAATTATTTCACAGTAGTTTCATTGTAAGTACTTGCAAACATCAGTGCTTTGGAAGTTGGTCATTCTAATAAATGTGTACTGGTCATGACTGTTTTTAACACTTAAACCTGGATGAAACTTTGTAATTTTACTAATTTTGTGAAATATGTATATGTACAAATGCATTATAACTGCACATTAACTTTTATTTTGAAAGTTTTCAAATACATGCAAAAAGAGAAATAATAACAAACCAGTTATTCTTACTTCTTGGTTTAAACAATTACCACTACTCGACCCATCTTTCCACTTGCACGCCCATCAACTTCCCTTCTGCCAATCCCAGGCCTGGCTCCCTGAAAGCCAGATTATTTTTCAGTAAATGCGAGGCATCACATCATTTCACCTCCAGACACTTTAGTACATGTCTCTTAAAGGACACTACCCCCTATTATTATCAATCTAAAAATGAATATAATTACTGAACATCATCAAATTTGCATTACAGGGTCTTACAGTTTTGTTTCAGTTTGTCTGAATCTAGATTCAAATAAAGTTCACACAATGTAATTCTTTGATATGTTCTTTAAGCTTCTACTGTCTATAGGTTTCTTTTCCATTTCTAGTCTTTCCTTGAAACTGCTGTTCTTGTTGAAGAAATGGGGTTATTTGGTAGAGTTTCTATAGTGTGAATTTTACACACTGCATCCCACTGGTGTGGTTTAGCATGTTCCTCTGCCCTGTGTTCCTACAGACTGGTAATTCCATCTACAGGCTTGATTTGATTCAAGTTCTAACGTGGGGAGGAGTTACCAGGGATGGGAGGGGTCCAAGACTGCTTCATGCAGGGTTGCAACATCTTCAGGAAGCACATGGTGCCTGACTGACTCCTTTCATCCTATCATTGGCCACTGATGATACCTGCCTAGGCCAACTACTCATTAGAAACTTCAAGGTGATAGGTCTATTAGGCAGATCTGATATCTGGAATAATTTTACATAAAGGAACTGCCCACTGAGGTGAGGATGATTTAAGAAAGGCAAGATAGAGGCCTGATTCTTTCTCTTTGTTTCCTGGTTTTCAAACATCGTGGTGGCTCCCTAACATTCTCCAGACATGACCAAGGAGAGGTTTTTATGAACTCGCTGCAGCTTCCATCTTTATGAATGTATGCTTCCAAGAGCTTCTTCAAGAGTTCTTTTCACAAGGTCCTAGCAGTCTTTGAAAACTCCCTTTCTGGTGTGACAACATGATTCAGGTTCAGCTTGTATCATTCCTGCCTCACATCTAAAACCAGCCATTTCTTGATGGGCTCCTAATTTGTTTTAGTGGCAAATAGTACTTTGAGATATAGAAGTAATATGCTTAAACATGACCAGATATGATAGCAAAATCTATAGTCTGGAAGTTTTACACAAAAATCTACATATTTAATCTCATTAAAACAAAATTTGCTTTGTATTTCAAAATACTATTTTATTTCTATATAAGTATAAAAATAAATAAATAGCCCACCATTGGTCTATCCACAGAAGTACCTCATCTCTAAATTTGCTACTGCAGAGCTGGAAGATGTCAGCATTGGACTCTCTCAGCATGTGACCATGATTACTGCTTTTCTATACCACTACTAAAGGTTTTTAACATATTCTGTTTAATAACTTGTTTCCTTTATCATTTATTAAACAAAACTGTTTGATTTTAAAATCAATTTTTATATAAATTTTACAAACCTTTGTAAGGATAAATAGTTCAAAATTTATAATATTGTGTGCTTTTTGATGTAATTTTTCATACACTAGATAATTTTGGGCAGTTGTGCTTTTTTAATGGTTTCTTCCTCAGGCAGGAATGCAAATCTTTTGCATTATGGGCAACATATTGATGGTGAGTGATGTGTCAGGCACAGAATTATGCAAAATGGCTCCAAACCAAACTGAGAAAGTCTTGCTCCAGATGATTTAAAAACAAAACTAAATGCAAAGAAGAAAGACACACAGATCTGTGCTTTACAAAGATAATCTATATACAAGTGTATAAAAATGGCCTAAAATGGTCTGTGGTTATGGAACAGAAAGTAGTCCACAATAACAGTCCAGGTGGATGTGTTAGCACAGCTTTAAAAAAAAATCCATGAGAGGAGCCAGCATTGTGGCAATAAGCAGGGTTAAACCACTGCCTGCAGTACCAGCATCCTATATGGGCGCTGGTTCAAGACCCAGCTGCTCCACTTCTGATTTAGCTCTCTGCTAATGGCCAGTGAAAGCAGTAGAAGATGGCCCAAGTCCTTGGGCTCCTGCACCCACGTGGGAGACTTGGAAACAGCTCCCGCATCCTGGCTTTGGCCTGGCCCAGCCCCGGCTGTTGTGGCCATTTGGGGAGTGAACCAGCAGATGTCTCTGTCTGTCTCTTCTAAACTCTGGCTTTCAAATAAATAAAAAATAAACCTTAAAAAAATGCCATGAGAACAAGGAAGCAAGTCATTTGCTGCTGTTTGTCAATGAATCCCTTCCCTCCACGTCTCTGCTGAGAGCACTACTCAAGGACACAAGCATCTTCACACTCTCAGCAGACACTGGGTACACAAAGGCAAGTGAAGGCGCCATCAGCTCATTCACAGGATCAGGTCAACAATGAAAATAGCAGTGGATTTGTGCCTCAGAAATCCTCTAGTTAATGAGTTACTAGACTCACCCCTCTAACCTCCCGAGCACCCTTCTCTAACCAACACAGCTGCACTCCCCAGAAACCAGGAAGAGCAACCGTGGGTTAAGGCATCTGTGGGGAAAACTAGGTTAGAGCAAAAGAAAGAGTGAATCAATGAAGGTTAGGGTTAATTTTTTTTAACATGTCCTAAATTGAAACAGCGATAACACAGTAAATGAACAGAATTCAATACAGACTTCAAAGTAAGAGCCAGAGGGGCCCACACTGTGGTGTAACGGGTAAAGCCACCACTTGTGATGCTGGAATCCCATATGGGTACCTGGAGTCCTGGCTGCTTCACTTCCACTCCAGCTTCTTGCTAATGCACCTGGGAAAACGCAGCGGAAGATGGTCCAAGTGCTTGGATACCTGCTACCCACATGGGACACCCAGAAGAACGTCCTGGCCCAGCCCTGGCTGTTACAGCCATTTGGGGGGAGAGAACCAGAAAGATCTTTCTGCTTCTTCCTTTCTTTCTGTAACTCTGCCTTTCAAATAAATACCTAAATCCTTAAAAAAATTAATAGCTACAGAATCAATACAGTTATTCTCTACTAATCATCTATGGTAACTAAAATGTTCTTATACCTATTTTCCTCTCCACTTTTCAGTAAGATACTTGTCAACTGTGGCAAATGCACCCGGAGGCTTGACAGCTCTGGTCTGACTCCCTGACCCTGGAAGAGAAAGCACCCTCTGAACTCCCAGCAAGCAAGGTGACGGTGAACACAGAAAAGGAATTCCATTCCTCCTTTGTCCCCCAGCCTTTTCCCTAATTCCTTCAACTTCCACTTTTAGTACAGGGACAATTTCAATATACCCAAACCTAAATTATCAAAGACACCAAAAGCTTTATGGGAGAAATTTACATTTTTCCATATATCATTCTCAGGAGAGAGGGTATTAGTGGGAAAGCCCTCCCATAGACCTGCTCTAAAATCAGAAGATTTCCTTCTAATTTCTTGGGTCTCAATGTACAAGGCCATATAAAGGCAGAGGCACCTGACCCTGCCTTGTCTACAGAAATGCTATGTGGATAACAGAGGAGTTTGTACCTCATCCCAGAGTCACAGTGATTCCATGCTCCCATTCTGATCCTTGAAGAACCCAACCCTCCCATTGTGATCCTTGACAAAATCAACAATTATATTCTTTCCTTACAAAAGGGGACGTTCAAACTGTCACTCAACAGGTCACATTAGCAGGAAGTCACACACACAATCCAGGACTCCTAATCCTTGAGAAGAGTGCCAAACTCATGAGCATTCCACTGGAGGTAGAATTTTGTAGCAATTCAAAATATAAATTTTTAAAATGTACTGAGTAATTTCCAGAGACTCAATAAAGAAGAATAAATGGCTATGAAAGGTAAGGTTATACCAAATGCTACTGAACAAAGAGCCAAAGCACTGTTCAGGGCTGATCCTCCTGCATGGATCTTTGACATGACCCTCACATGCAGCTTATACTTAGAGGGCCTGCCAGGTGGCCCTGCAGCACAGTACTTCTCCCTGCACCATCCTTGCAGAGAAGAAAGTCAAGGCACTGGCCCCATTTTGTGGCTTTCAACAGAATCTTAACCAGATCACTGGTTTAACACCTGGTAAGTCAGAGAGCACAGAAAGAAGATAAATGAGGGACAGTTTCCTGGCCTCACAGCCCTGGGCCACTGGATTTACTTGTCTTCTAATTTTTATTAACTTATTTTATTCATTTCAAAAGCAGAAAGAGAGGGAGGAAGAGAGAGAGAGAGAGAAACAGAGAGATGGATGATATATAGATCTCTCTCCTATCTGCTGGTTCACTCTCCAGACACCCACCATCAGCCAGGGCTGGTCCAGACTGATGCCAGGAGCCCAGTACTCAGTCTGAGTACCCCAGATGGGTGCCAGGTACTTGAACCTTCATCTGTTGCCTCCCAGGGTGCACATGAGCAGGAAGCTGGGCGCCCT